TTCCTTGCCTTGCTTTCCTTCCTTTCCCTTTCCCTTCCTTCCTTCCTTCCTTCCCCCCTTACCTTTCCTTCTCTATTTTTATTTTTTAAAAAACCTGGGGGGTTTTTTCCCGGGGGTTTTTTAAATATTTCCCCCTAGGTTTTTTTCCCCATTTTGGGGTTTTTCCTAAGATTTTCCCCCGGGGGTTTTACCCCCCCGGGGGTTTTTACCCCCGGGGGGGGGTTTATTTTTTCCCCGGGGGTTATTATTCCCCCTTTTTGGGGGGTTTTTCCCCCCGGGGGGTTTTTTCCCCCCCGGGGGTTATTTTTTCCCCCTTTGGGGTTTTTCTTTTATTTTGGGGGTTTACCCCCTTGGGGGGTTTCTCCCCACCCGGGGTTTACCCCTCCCGGGGGGTTTTTTATTTGGGGGGGTTTTTCCCCCCGGAGAAATTTTCCCCCGGGGGAAAAAAATTTTTTCCCCCGGGGGGGTTTTTTAATTTTGGGGGTTTTTTACATTCCCCCTTTGGGGGTTTTTTCCCCCCCTGGGAGGTTTTTTCCCCAACTGGGGGGTTTTCCCCGGGGGTTTTTTTCCCTAAGTTTTCCCCCCCCTTTTTTTCCCCCCTTTTTGGGGTTTTTTTTCCCCCCCTTTGGGGGTTTTACCCCCTTTTTTCCTTTTTTCCCTTTTTTCCCCCCCCCCTTTTTCTCCTTTCCCGGGGGGTTTTTCCCCCTGGGGGTTTTTCCCCACCGGGGAGGTTTTCTTCCCCCGGGGGTTTTTTCCCCCTGGGGGGTTTTTTTCTCCCCCATTTTCTTCCCCCCGGGTGGTTTTCCCTCCCTTTTTCCCCCCGGGGTTTTATTCCTCCCGGGGAGGTTTACCTCCCTCCCCGGGGGAGGTTATTACTCCTCCCTGGGGAGGTTTTTTCTCCCTTTGGGGGGATTTTTTTCCCCCTGGGGGGGTTTTCCCCCTCCCCGGGGGGTTTAACCCCCCCGGGGAGGTTTTACCCCCCTGGGGGGTTTATTACCCCCTCCCCCTGGGGGGTTTTTTCCTCACCTGGGAGGTTTTACTCCCTCCCCGGGGGGTTTTTAATTCCCCGGGGGGGGGGTTTTTTTTCCCCCACGGGGGTTTTTTCCTTCCCCTCCCGGGGGAGGTTCTTACTTTCCCCCCCTGGGGGGGTTATTACTCCCTCACCGGGGAGGTTATTACCCTCACCTGGGGGGGTTTCTTCTCTCTCACCGGGGGAGGTTATTATCCCCCCTGGGGAGATTTTTAAACTCTTCACCTGGGGGGGTTCTTACTCTCTCCCCTAGGGAGGTTTTTTACCTTCACTGGGGGTTATTACCCCCTCACGGGGGAGGTTATTACTCCCTCCCTGGGGGGGTTTTTAGTCTCTCAGGGGAGGTTCTTACTCCCTCACCGGGGGAGGTTATTATCTCCACCTGGGGGGTTATTACTCCCCCCTGGGGAGGTTTTTACTCTCTCCCCGGGGGAGGTTATTACTCCCTCCCCTGGGAGGTTTTACTCCCTCACCGGGGGAGGTTATACTCTCTCCCCTGGGGGGTTATTACTCTCTCACCTTGGGAAGTTATTACTCCCCCCTGGGGGGGTTTATTACCCCTTTCCCCGGGGGAGGTTTTACCCTCACCTGGGAGGTATTACTCCTCACCTGGGGGGTTATTACTCCTCACCTTTGGGGGTTTTCTCCTCCCCTGGGGGGTTATTCTCCCTCCCTGGGGGGGTTTATTAGTCTCTCCCCGGGGGAGGTTCTTACTCTCCCTGGGGAGGTTATTATCCCTCACCGGGGGAGGATTATCTCACCTGGGGGGTTTTTTACTCCCTCCCCGGGGAGGTTTTACCCCCACCTGGGGGGTTCTTACCCCCTTCACCTGGGGGGGTTTTTACCCCCCCAAGGGGGTTATTATCCTCCCCTGGGGAGGTTTTACCCCCTTCCCCGGGGGAGGTTTTACCCCCTCATGGGGGGGTTATTACTCTTACCTGGGGAGGTTCTTACTCTTCCCCCTAGGGGTTATTACTCTTCCCCGGGGAGGTTATTACCCCCTCACCTGGGGGAGGTTTTTACCCCCTCCCCTGGGAGGTTATTAGTCTCTCACCGGGGGAGGTTCTTACCCCTTTCACCGGGGGGGTTATTAGTCTCTCCCCTGGGGAGGTTATTACTCCCTACCGGGGGAGGTTTTTACTTCTCACCTGGGGAGGTTATTACTCCCCACCGGGGTGGGTTTACCCCCTCACCTGGGGGGTTATTACTCCTCACCGGGGAGGTTATTACTCTTCCCCTGGGGGGTTATTATCCCTCCCCTGGGGGGGAAATTACTCCCCCCCCTGGGAGGTTTTTTACTCCCCACCTGGGGGGTATTACCCCCCTCACCTGGGGTTATTACTCTTCACCGGGGGAGGTTATTCCCTCTCACCGGGGGAGGTTTTTTTCCTCTCACCGGGAGGTTTTACTCCCCCCTGGGGGGTTATTATCTTCACCGGGGGAGGTTCTTCCCCTTCCTCAAAAGGAGGTTATTACTCCCCCCTGGGAGTTTAAATAAACCCCTCACCTGGGGAGGATTATCCCCCACCTGGGGGGGTTTTTATCTCTCACGGGGAGGTTTTTACTCCCCTCCCCTGGAGGGCTTATTATTCTCTCGCCGGGGAAATTATTGGTCCCACCTGGGGGTTTTTATCCCTCACCGGGGAACGTTATTAGTCCCCAAAAGGGGAGGTTATTACTCTCCACTTGGGGGGGTTTTTACCCCTCACCTCGGGGTTTTACTCCCTCACTGGGAGGTTTTTACTCTCCCCTGGGGAAGTTATTCTCTACCTGGGGGGTTTTTACTACCACCTGGGGAATATTACTCCCTCCCCCTGGGGAAGTTTTATCCCACTTGGGGTGTTATTACTCTCTCACCGGGGAGGTATTACTCCCTTTACCTGAAGGGGTTTATTACCCCCAAAGGGGGAGATTATATCCCTCACTGGGGGGTTATTACCCCTCACCGGGGGAGTTATTACCCCCCCTCACCGGGGGGGTTATTACCCTTCACCTGGGGGGTTATTACTCCCCCCGGGGGGAGGTTATTACTTCCTCCCCGGGGGTGGTTTTTTACCCCCTCACTAGGGAGGTTATTGTTTCCCTACCCCGGGTGGTTATTACCCCCTCAACGGGGATTTATTGCTTCTTCACTGGGGGGGTTATTACCCCCTCACCGGGGTGGTTATTACCCCTCCCCGGGGGAGGTTATTACTCCTTCACCTGAGGTGGTTTTACTCCCTCCCCTGGGGAGGTTTTTACTTCCCCCTGGGGTGGTTATACTCCCTCCCGGGGGAGGTTATTGCTTCCTACCTGGGGGGTTTTTTATCCCTCAATGGGGGGGTTTTATTACTTTCACCTGGGGTGGTTATTACTCCCTCAAACCCGGGGGAGGTTATTGCCCCCTCACGGGGGAGGTTATTGCCCCCTCACCGGGGGAGGTTTTTGCTCCCTCCCCTGGGGAGGTTTATTGTCCCCCTCACCGGGGGATTATTACTCACCTGGGGGGTTATTACCCCTCATGAGGGGTTTTTACCCCCTCACCTGGGGGTTATTACCCCCTCACCTGGGGTGGTTTTTAACTCCCTCCCCGGGGAGGTATTCTCCCTCCCTGGGGTTATTATCCCTAAGGGGGGGAGAATATTCTTTTTCACCCTGGGGGTTTTTATTACCCCTCATTTGGGAAAGGGTTTATTGTCCCTACCGGGGGAGGTTTTACTCCCCCTCGGGGGTTTTATTATCCATCACTTGGGGACGTTATTATCTCCCCTGGGAGTTTATTAGTCCCCCATAGGGGGGAGGTTATTACTCTCCCCTGGGGACTTTTACTCCCCCCCCTGGGGAGGATATACCCCTCACCGGGGGGTTTTTACTCCCTCATTGGGGTGTTATTCCCTCACCTGGGGGTTATTAACCCTTCCATGGGAGGTTATTACTCTTTACCTGGGGTCATTACTCTCTTACCTGGGGGGGTTTATTGCTCCCCAAAGGGGGGTGGTTTTACTCCCCCACCTGGGTGGTTATTACCCCTTTTCCTGGGGAGGTTATTACTCCTTCCCTGGGGTGGTTTTTACCCCCTCAGGGGAGATTATTGCTTTCCCTGGGGGGTTTTGTCCCTCACCTGCAGGTTTTTCCCTCACCTGAGGTGGTTTTTACTCCTTCCCCGGGGGGGTTATTGCTCCCTCCCCTGGGGGGTTATTGCTCCTCCCCTCGGGAGGTTTTAACCCTCCCCTTGGAAGGTTTTATTACTCTCACCTGGGGAGCTTATACCCCCCTCACATGGGAAAGGTTATTACTCTCCCTGGGGAGCTTTTATCCTCACCTAGGGAGGTTATTACCCCATCGCCGGGGGAGGTTTTTACTCCCCCCTGGGAAGGTTATTACTCCCCTCCCTGGGTTTTTTATTACTTCCCCACCGGGGATTATTTCCTTTAAGGGGAGGTTATTAACCCCCTCACCGGGGGTGAATTAACCCCCTCACCTGGGGGGTTTTACCCCCCTCTTGGGGGACTTTTTAACCCCCCTCACCTGGGGGGGGTTTATTCCCCTCACTGCGGGGGTTTATTACCCCTCAACTGGGAGGTTTTTATCCCCCCCTGGGGGGGTTATTATTTTCCCAACTGGGGGTTTTTACTTCCCACCTGGGGAGGTTCTACTCCCTCCCCTGGGGAGGTTTACTTTTCACCGGGGGAGGTTATTATCCCCACCTGGGGGTTTTTACCCCTCACCGGGGGAGGTTATTACTCCTCACCTGGGGGGGTTATTATCACTACCGGGGGAGGTTTTATTCCCACCGGGGGAGGTTTTTCTCCCTTCCCTGGGGAGGTTTTATTTCCTCCCCCTCGGGGGTTTTTTTTTACTTCCTCACCGGGGGAGTTATTATCCCCCTGGGGGGGTTTTATTATTTCCCCTCACCTGGGGGGTTATTATCCCTCACCTGGGGGGTTATTATTTTCCTCCCCGGGGTGGTTATTCTTCCTCCCCTGGGGAGGCTTTATTTCCCTCCCCTGGGGGGTTTTACCCCAACCTGGGGGTTTATTATTCCTCAAGGGGAATTTTTACTCTAAAACTGGGATTTATTACCCCCTCACCGGGAAAGGTTATTACGCCCCTCATCGGGGAGTTATTACCCCCACCTGGGGGGGTTATTACTTCCTCACCTGGGGTGGTTTAACTTCCCCTTTGGGAGGTTTACTCCCTCTTGGGGGAGGTCTTACCCCCTCATGGGGTTGTTTTACCCCCCACCGGGAGGTTTTTACCCCCACCTGGGGAGGTTATTACTCTTCACCTGGAGGTATTACTTCCTCACCTGGGATGGTTATTCCTCACCTGGTGAGGTTATTACTCCCTCACCTGGGGAGGTTATTATTTCCTCACCTGGGGAGGTTATTACTTCCTCACCTGGGTAGGTTATTACTCTCTCATCTGGGGAGGTTATTACTCTCTCATCTGGGGTGGTTATTACTTCCTCACCAGGGGAGGTTATTACTCCCTCACTTGGGGAGGTTATTACTCCCTCACCTGGAGAGGTTATTACTCCCTCACCTTGGAGGTTATTACTTTTTCACCTGAAGAGGTTATTACTCCCTCACTGGGGAGTTTATTACTCCCTCACCTGGGGAGGTTATTACTCCCTCACCTGGGGAGGTTATTATTCCCTACCTGGGGTGGTTTTTTTACCTTTTCCTCCCTGGGAGGTTATTATCCCCTCACCTGGGGGTTTTACTCCCTCACCTGGGGAGGTATACTTTTCCTCACTGGGTGGTTATTACTTCCTCACCTGGGAGGTTATTACTCCCTCACATGAAGAGGTTATTACTTCCTCACCTGCGGTGCTTATTACTTCCTCACCTGGGGTGTTTATTACTTCCTCACCTGGGGAGGTTATTACTTCCTCACCAGGGGAGGTTATTACTTCCTCACCTGGGGAGGTTATTTATTTCCTCCCCTGGGGTGGTTTTACTCCCTCCCCTGAGGAGGTTATTACTCCCTCACCTGGGGAGGTTATTACTCCCTCACTGGGGAGGTTATTACTTCCTCACCTGGGGAAGTTATTACTCCCTCAATGGGGAGGTTATTACTCCTCACCTGCGGGGGTTTTATTTACTCCCTTTCAACCTGGGGAGGTTATTACTCCCTCACTGGGAGGTTATTACTTCTTCACCTGGGTGGCTATTATTTCCTCACCGGGGTGGTTTTTACCCCCTCACCTGGGAGGTTATTAGTCCTCACCTGGGGAGGTTATTACTGCCTCACCTGGGGAGGTAATTACTTCCTCACTGGGGAGGTTATTACTATCTCACCTGGAGGGGTTTTATTACTCCTCCCTGGGGTGGTTATATACTTCTCACCTGGGTGGTTATTATTTCCCTTCCCTGGGGAGGTTATTACTCCCTCACCTGGGGAGGTTATTACTTCCTCACCTGGGGAGGTTATTACTTCCTCACCTGGGGAGGTTATTACTCCCTCACCTGAGAAGTTTTATTTCCTCCCCTGGGAGGTTATTACTCCTCCCTAGGAAGGTTATTACTCCCTAAATCTGGGGAGGTTATTACTCCCTCACCTGGGGAGGTTATTACTTCCTCACCTGGGGTGGTTATTACTTAATCACCTGGGGAGGTTATTACTCCCTCATCTGGGAGGTCATTACTCCCTCACCTGGGGTTGTTATTACTCCCTCACCTCGGGAGGTTATTACTCCCTCACCTGGGGAGGTTATTACTCCTTCACCTGGGGAGGTTATTACTTCCTCACCTGGGATGGTTATTCCTCACCTGGTGAGGTAATTTACTCCTAACCTGGGGAGCTTAAAATCCCTCACTGGGGAGGTTATTACTCTCACTGGGAGCTTATTACCCCCTCACCAGGAAGGTTAAATACCCCGCATTGGGGAGGTTATTACTCCCTCACCTGGGGAGGTTATTACTTCCTCACCTGGGGTGGTTATTACTTAATCACCTGGGGAGGTTATTACTCCCTCATCTGGGGAGGTCATTACTCCCTCACCTGGGGTTGTTATTACTCCCTCACCTCGGGAGGTTATTACTCCCTCACCTGGGGAGGTTATTACTCCTTCACCTGGGGAGGTTATTACTTCCTCACCTGGGATGGTTATTCCTCACCTGGTGAGGTTATTACTCCCTCTCCTGGGGAGGTTATTATTTCCTCACATGGGGAGGTTATTACTTCCTCACCTGGGTAGGTTATTACTCTCTCATCTGGGGAGGTTATTACTCTCTCATCTGGGGTGGTTATTACTTCCTCACCTGGGGAGGTTATTACTCCCTCACTTGGGGAGGTTATTACTCCCTCACCTGGAGAGGTTATTACTCCCTCACCTTGGAGGTTATTACTTTTTCACCTGAAGAGGTTATTACTCCCTCACTGGGGAGGTTATTACTCCCTCACCTGGGGAGGTTATTACTCCCTCACCTGGGGAGGTTATTACTTCCTCACCTGGGGTGGTTATTACTTCCTCACCTGGGGAGGTTATTACTCCCTCACCTGGGGAGGTTATTACTCCCTCACCTGGGGAGGTTATTACTTCCTCACCTGGGGTGGTTATTACTTCCTCACCTGGGGAGGTTTTTTAAACCCCTCACATGAAGGGGGTTATTATTTCCCTCACCTGCGGTGCTTTTACTTCTCACCTGGGGTTTTATCTTCATCCACCTGGGGAGGTTATTATTTCCTCACCAGGGAGGTTATTCTTCCTCACCTGGGGTGGTTATTACTTCCTCACCTGGGGTGGTTTATTACTCCCTCCCCTGAGGAGGTTATTATTTCCCTCACCTGGGAGGTTTTTTACTCCCCACTGGGGAGGTTATTACTTCCTCACCTGGGGAAGTTATTACTCCCTCAATGGGGAGGTTATTACTCCCTCACCTGCGGAGGTTACTACTCCCTCACCTGGGGAGGTTATTACTCCCTCACTGGGGAGGTTATTACTTCTTCACCTGGGGTGGCTATTACTTCCTCACCGGGGTGGTTATTACTTCCTCACCTGGGGAGGTTATTACTCCCTCACCTGGGGAGGTTATTACTGCCTCACCTGGGGAGGTAATTACTTCCTCACCTGGGGAGGTTATTACTATCTCACCTGGAGAGGTTATTACTTCCTCCCCTGGGGTGGTTATTACTTCCTCTCCTGGGGAGGTTATTACTCCCTCACCTGGGGAGGTTATTACTTCCTCACCTGGGGAGGTTATTACTTCCTCACCTGGGGAGGTTATTACTCCCTCACCTGAGGAGGTTATTACTCCCTCACCTGGGGAGGTTATTACTCCCTCACCTAGGAAGGTTATTACTCCCTTATCTGGGGAGGTTATTACTCCCTCACCTGGGGAGGTTATTACTTCCTCACCTGGGGTGGTTATTACTTAATCACCTGGGGAGGTTATTACTCCCTCATCTGGGAGGTCATTTACTCCCTCACCGGGGGTTTGTTATTACTCCCTCACCTGGGGAGGTTATTACTCCTCACCTGGGGAGGTTATTACTCCCTCACCTGGGAGGTTTATTATTTCCCTCACCGGGGGTGGTTATTACTTCCTCACCTGGGGGGTTATTACTCCCTCCTGAAGAGGTTATTACTTCCTCACCGGGGGAGATTATTACTCCCTCACCTGGGAAGTTTAATTACTCCCTCACCTGGGGAGTTATTACTCTCCCCTTTGGAAGGTTATTACTCCCTCATCTGGGAGGTTATTACTCCTCACCTGGGAGGTTAATTACTTCCTCACCTGGGTGGTTATTATTAATCACCTGGGGAGGTTATTACTCCCTCATCTGGGAGGTCATTACTCCCTCACCTGGGGTTGTTATTACTCCCTCACCTCGGGAGGTTATTACTCCCTCACCTGGGGAGGTTATTACTCCTTCACCTGGGGAGGTTATTATTTTCCTCACCTGGGATGGTTATTCCTCACCTGGTGAGGTTATTACTCCCTAACCTGGGGAGCTTATTATTCCCTCACATGGGGAGGTTATTACTCTCAACTGGGGAGCTTATTACTCCCTCACCTAGGAAGGTTAATACTCCCGCATCTGGGGAGGTTATTACTCCCTCACCTGGGGAGGTTATTATTTCCTACCTGGGGTGGTTATTACTTAATTCACCTGGGAGGTTATTACTCCTCATCGGGGAGGTCATTACCCCTCACCTGGGGTTGTTATTACTCCCTCACCTCGGGAGGTTATTACTCCCTCACCTGGGGAGGTTATTACTCCTTCACCTGGGGAGGTTATTACTTCCTCACCTGGGATGGTTATTCCTCACCTGGTGAGGTTATTACTCCCTCTCCTGGGGAGGTTATTATTTCCTCACATGGGGAGGTTATTACTTCCTCACCTGGGTGGGGTTATTATCTTCTCATCGGGGGAGGTTATTACTCTCCTTGGGGGGTTATTACTTCCTCACCTGGGGAGGTTATTACTCCCTCACTTGGGGAGGTTATTACTCCCTCACCTGGAGAGGTTATTACTCCCTCACCTTGGAGGTTATTACTTTTTCACCTGAAGAGGTTATTACTCCCTCACTGGGGAGGTTATTACTCCCTCACCTGGGGAGGTTATTACTCCCTCACCTGGGGAGGTTATTACTTCCTCACCTGGGGTGGTTATTACTTCCTCACCTGGGGGGGTTTATTACTCCTCACTGGGAGGTTATTATCCCTCACCTGGGGAGGTTATTACTTCCTCACCTGGGGTGGTTATTACTTCCTCACCTGGGGAGGTTATTACTCCCTCACATGAAGAGGTTATTACTTCCTCACCTGCGGTGCTTATTACTTCCCTCACCTGGGGTTTTTTATTACTCCTCACCTGGGGGGGTTATTACTTCCTCACCAGGGGAGGTTATTACTTCCTCACCTGGGGTGGTTATTACTTCCTCACCTGGGGTGGTTATTACTCCCTCCCCTGAGGAGGTTATTACTCCCTCACCTGGGGAGGTTATTACTCCCTCACTGGGGAGGTTATTACTTCCTCACCTGGGGAAGTTATTACTCCCTCAATGGGGAGGTTATTACTCCC